CCACTTTAATCTCATATTTATGGCAAAAAAATTCTTTATCGATGGTATATAATATATATGTAGTCACATAGGTAATAATCACGTTATTTGCCATTTATTTATGAACRATAATTATTGATTATAAGAAAACGCACTTTATTGGTATTGTTATCATTATCATTTAACTTGACCATTATCAGTCTTTTCAGTTGTTATATTAGAGCTTTCCCGATTGAGTTTTTTTTTTTTGCACTGTTTTCCGGCGGCACAAATTCATCTATTTTATCCTCAATTGCTATTCTAAATTTATGTCGTTCGTGATTCATTTATTCTCTTGAAAGAAAGTCTGACTATTTGTACTCGAATGTAGGCGTAAACTATCAAGACAAACGTGTCTTCTTCGTGTATTTAAACAGAAGCTTAATAAAATGAATTAATTTAAGACTAAATAAACAATCGCTTTCGATTTATAAAACCATCCGCGCACATCCTCAAATTAAAATTCTTTTTCAATAAACATAAACCAACCAACTGTCTCAAGCTTTACGTGTTCAGCTTCCGATGCGACTAAATTTAATTTAACAATAATCCAGGTTTCAGTCATAATTTGCCGTATTTTAACCTGTTTTTATAATTGTTAGCGCCCCCATGTCTTGAATACCAGCTTCTGATATTGATTAGATATAAATGGACAATATATGTTGTACGGTATTGGCTTTGACAGTGCAGGAAACATGCCCTATGCTATCGCGCTTTATTCCGCCCTGAATTATCTTAATTTATTGTTTTTAACATGTAAAATTTGCTCTTTGAATTTAGATTTCTTTGACTTAGACAAGCCCACAGTCGCCTCTCAGTGTTTAGATAATCGGAATATAAACTATTTATTTTGTTGTGTTGTGGAATTTCGTCTGTGTTTTTCGTGTATTTGAAAAAAATGGTTTTTCATTTGTTATTGTCGTTATGATTTTTTTTTTGTTCTTTCTCCCATTTTTTATTATTTCAATTCATTTATATATTCTTTTTCGTATCTTCTATGTTTTTCTCGTCGGTAAACTTACATTCAAAGTGAATCAAGCGAACCAATTGTATTGATTCGAAATGAGGAATCGGATTCTTTTATTTCAGTTATTTCTTCTCTCAAGTTTTCTTTAACAAGACTAATCCTTTGAATCTTTCATTCTGGCGCCGTAATTTTGATTCATGGAATACGATCCACTATCACTCGTTAAAGAAATCATCATTGTTGACCCAAAGCCTGTGTGAGTATTATCAAGCAAATCCTCAAGAATTGCACTTGAAAAAAGCAACCTATTGAACACAATAACAATGTCATTACGCTTATAATGGCGTTATTAAACCTAGAAAACAGGTTATTATTGAAGTTTGGGTTTCTCTGGGTGTCTAACCGTTCCGCGGCAAACTTACTTGCCGTAACATAACATTTAATTAAGTAAGGAGTAAGAGCGGATGAAACGCGGAAAGGGACATACAAAAGTCGTGCAAGACGACTGACGCGTTGTCAATTAAGCTCACACTAAGACTTCTAACTGTTTTTGCTTTTCCCCTAMAACACGATTAAACAACCGAAATATGCGAAAACATAAAGCAACAGGCCTCAGGGCAGTACTCAATTCACTTGACTGTAAAATAACAGGAACCCCGCTCTACTAATAAACCAGCGACTTTTTACAAACTTGTTTGTGTTACTGTTGTTGCTGGCTTGTTAGATAACGCATTGCCAAGTTGATTTCCGCCGAAAAAGTCTTGAGTATTGTATTCGGCATTGTTTCCATTGCATAATTAATGTGCTYTCGAAATCACATCATTCTTGTTTTTGACATGAGGTGTTTAGCAGTGAGAACACAAAAAAGTAGTTACCAATCTAGTTATAATAGATATTTTTCGAGCTGTCATCTGACGCAAGTACTATGAAATGTAACCCATTTAATGTGWAACAAGAGTGCAGGTCTCTCTTATACAGTACAAGTCTCTACACCACGCATTAGTCTAACAATTCATTTTTGTTTTAGTTACAAGCAAATATCCCTCAAAATAGATAAAAAATTGGCATTGTGATATAATATTTTACAAGATTGTCACAGCCACGTGTGCACCCCACCTGTCACATTTACTTTTAACAACAAAATACGACTGCTTGCAATAATGGAAAATGGTTTGGTTTTTGTGCTTAGTTGAAGTAATAGAAGTAGTCCCCTGGAGTTTACCTTGTATTACGCTTTAATAGTTGTTTTCGCCCAATTTGTGTTGATAAGTGATTTTTGTTTAATGTTCGAGACAAGAAAGTGCTCTATGGCATGTCAAGTGAGATATTTCACTTCTTTTCTACGAGTATATTTGGCTTTAATTTGAAAAATCTCTTAATTAAAAGTGAGGACTTCGTTTGTATATGTTTAACAAAACCCTGGTAGATGTCATTGACTCGTCAAATCAGCCACTAAAGTAGATCSTATTCAGGATCAAAYAAAATGCCACTGCCCTTCACATTGACGCCAACCATTTGGTGAAATTTGATCTTCTGGTTTTATTATCCCTTTTTTAATGTACAACCATCAACGACACTACAAACTAACGACGGTTTGATGCAATACACTAACACTTGAATGAATTACAAAGACACATTTCTTTTTAGTTCATGACGTGGTCATTTTAAGCATTTTTATTGCAAACTAATTGTAAAATTGTACAAAATATATCTACATGCGTATTTACATTTTACATTTTTAAAAGCAAAAACATTTCTGTCAGGCTTTGGTGTGCGAGYGATTGAACATCATTGATTGTAAAATACTTTATTTTTTTTTCGTCTAAATATCAACTTTTTTCTCTTCTCGATCGGACTGTAAATCCACTGATCATTTCTTTTTTAGCGCGAAATAAGAATTCGTCTTCATTTATTTATCTCAAAAAATCATCATATTCATTTTGTATATCAATAAAAATTATTTAACTTATTGCTTTCTTTATGAAATATTATTATATTAAATCATTGAACTGGTGAATCTAAGTCTAGTGAATGCCGCCTTTCRCTGTATGTTTCAGCTACGGCTAATTCTTCACTTAGTTGCCTGTTCTTSGATGGTCGATGTCTTGCGGATTTTTGGTGCGCGCGTAGTCCAGCGAGCTGCGAATACGCATAGTGACAAACAGTACATTTATAGGGCTTTTCGCCCGTGTGTAGTCTCGTGTGGTTCCGTAACGTTGAAGACTGAGAAAATGATTTCTTGCAATACTTGCACTGGAACGGCTTTTCGAGAGTATGAATTCGCATATGCGAGCGAAGATTGCTTCTTGAATTAAACCCCCTTCTACAGAGTGTACATTTGAGGCGGCCTGGAACTGCGTTCGGCTTGTTTTCCTGTGTGAATTTACAAACAGGTTCTTCTACAAAGAAAGAAAAAACACAACTGGTTAATATACACATTTGATTTACAAAACGCAAACAAAATATTCTTTTACTAAATCAACTATAAGGGCCCACGGCGTGTGATAGATTTCAGAACGCAATCAATCCAAGGAAGCCACATGAAAACAGTCACTTTTCAAAACCCAAATTTCACATGGAAAATCAGCGGCCTTTTAAAAATCAATCATTAGTTGAGTTAGCTTACACTGATATAATTTCCCCTCTGTATTTTGTAATATTTACACGAGTGAGTATTCACTGTGTATAAACAATGGCTTGGCTTTAATTTACTCCTTGATGCTGTCTTATACGTATAGTGTTATACAGTTTTTCTTTCCTGTACTTGACGTTAATGATTATTCGCGGAAATGTGAGTAAATGTAGAATCTGTATATGATTATTACTTGGTATAGAAGACCAAATGACTAGACCAGTACTCGGGGATGTTTAGTTTGATCTAAATCGATATAGCAAAACCGGGGCTGTCGATATTCAATCCCCAAATATAGTGTTAAACTGCTTTAGTTCAGTATTAAACAAAATGATTTAAATTGAGTGAAATTTGAGYTTGAGAARAATTTTTTTTACAGGGGGAAAAAAATCTGAGTTTTCAAGTGATTTTGATCACATTTAGCAAAGCTTAGTCAAGGTAGTTTATCTCTTGTTTAAAATCAATCTTTGTACACAATCAAGAACCATGATAAAGCTAGATTTACATTGGCCATATTTTCACCTGTTTTCTATTAAAAGAATAAGATTTTTAAAAGAAACTTAATGCCCAAGGAAATGGACTCGACGTAGGTTTATGTGCCCCCACTGGGGGGTGTTTGGCTTGTTTTTTTGGAAACCTTGCATAAAATCACTTGGTGATTAAAAATAAACTATTATCAAACAACGGAGTGCTATCCTAGGGACGTTTTAAACACTGAGATATATAAATTTGTCAGTAATGACTGCTGTATCCTGACGATAAGAAAAAAAAACTCGAATTCTTCAGTTGTGATAATACACAAATTAATTCCTTAAACAATTAATTTATTATTAAAAGGTCTAATAAATAAATAGTCCTTGCCTTGATAAAAGGCTTTTTAAGCGAGTTTTTTTTCCTTAATGCATCTCTGTAACAGCTGTTCTGGGAACAAAACCAATCTAACAAATCTGGTTTCTCTCTCTGAGAATGCCAAATTACACTGACAAAGTGAGGTTGTTTTCTAATCAGAAACACTAAAAAACAGGATTAACAACCTAAATTGGTCATTTTTATAGGAACTAGATAATAATTACGACATTGYAGAAGTAAAGCCCTCAATTGTCATACAAAGACGCACCAGTTTATTAAGTGTAGCTCGTGCATAATCAAGGACTATGTATAATTGTTTATATACCAAGACCATACTCTTCACTGTACCTGCCATTGTATCGCTACCTTACTGTACAGTGTACATTCGAACCACTACACTCAAATCTCGTCTATTGTCCCCTCGCACGAGTCCCATATCAGTCATATAATGCTCTATTGTTCGGTCCTGAATAAAAATGCCTTGAATAATTCCAAAACAGATTTTGCTGGGCGCGCGCGAGGGTGAAATCGCTAAGGGTACAGCCATCTGTTAAGGGATTTTTTCATTGAATAGGTCGTTTTGCTTGTGGTAAAGTGAAATGGTGTAGGCCTGTTATAGAGGGTGATTTCAAGCCCTGCAAGCCATGTTAATCATCCGCTTATGAAGTGCAGAAGGTGGTGTCTAACTAACTATGTCTGCAAGTTCGTAAATGGATCTTTATTAGCGAAAAACGGCCTCCGAGAATTAATCAAAAACAATGGGTTCCGCGGATAGGTGATACGAGAGCGACATGGAGTATTTAGCGTGTTTTAATTAATCAAAAATAAGGTTTAAAAGATCACTTTGGACCAGCTGCCAAGTTGTATAAAAAGCAATAATTAAGCCCCGTATGTCTAACTTAGGATTTTCATTTTTCTTTAAAAAAGGCTCGAATCTAATTAGGCGTTGAATCTGAAACGACAAACTGGGGTTTGTAATTAGGACTCAAACTAGTTGTCTGTGACACCAGATCTTGAGAACTAAATGAATCAGAATGTGTTGTTTGTCTTGCCATTAATACCAAGACCTAGTTTTTATTATTTTATATTTTAAGGGAGACAAAAGCAAATAGGGTCAAGCCGGGTTTTAACGCCCGGTAAACACRCTGAATCCAGTATTCGTCCGTTCGTTYGCGCCTCGGAAAAATTCACRTGATCTGAARATCATGATTGAAAGAAAGCTTGTTGATGATTCGTTATAAGCAATTGCTTAAATCGATTCAAGACCAAGAAGCAAGAAAGATTGTTTTCTCTCTCTAGCAATGTGATTAACAAAGAGCGCTGAAACTCCACCTGCTACCTTTTAACAAAAACCTAACTTGAACAACTTAAACCCCTCGACTCCTCCAACTATATCATACTATTCTGAATCTATAGCACAACTGGCCTTATCAATGGCTCATTTTTGCTTTTCGGCCCGAAATAACGCCTTAGTATAAGGTGTTTTTGGTAGTTAAGTGTTTTCGTCTCATGTGTTTGCTGAGATCCTTTCTTTCATTTTAGTAGGTTTAAATAAACTCGGTCTTAATTGATCTCTGTTAAACATACTGTATTGGGTCCGTTTACAAGTCATTATAGTTTAGCTCAGTTAATTTATATCGTCCTCTACTAATTGATTTCTATGAAAGATTCTCAAATTAATGATCTTAACTCCAGATGTTTTGCCCCTTTCTTCTCAACTTATGTTTTTATTTAAAGAAAGCAGTCTAAAAAAAAACTTCAGCCAATAATATTGTCCTTTGGTAGTGAAACAGTTTTTTTTTTATATAAGAAACTCATAGTCCGTATAATAAAAACAAAGCCTGTTACATTATCTTGGTGATTACTTTTGACCCGATGTTCGTGATTTAGCCCGCAAGTCTGAAAAGAGGTCTTTTTTTCGAAAAGACAATGCACGCGCGCGCTCATTGTAAAAAAATGCGGACACGTTACAGAATGCCCTGACAGATTACACACTAGCTGAGCGATGTTTCCATATAGGAAGCGCCTCAGATCCGTGACAAATGTACAAAGATAATAGAAGTTTAGTATGTTCTAGAGTCTAAGACGGTAATGTCCTGATATGATCTAACGTCTATGTAAAAAGCCGGTCCAAACACTTTGAACTAAAACAACACGGGTTTACAATTACTCACTTTACTAACGTGGTGTATTTATTCCCCTTTAAAAACTTAAACAGCCTTGGTATTGTCTTTTTTAAACGTTCGTCTTGTAATTGGTCCGAGTTGAAGGAGCAAGCATCGAAAATGCATTAGAACAATTGGAGTCGGTACTTGATTTTTTTTTCAACCACTTTTTACGCAGGGCGGTAATTTTGTAATTCTTTTTGTAGATGTTTTAAGAGCCTAATCCATCTACTTGTGTATCGAGAAATGCCCGTATTCATTTTCTAATTACGCGTGAGTTGTTTAAGAYGCGTAGGATTTAAGTCCGCTGAAAAGCCATATTAATACTGTATTGAGGGATTTGTTTTTGGCGATCCAGACAGATCTAGAGATAAATCCCTATATGACACWGTGCTCGTTCGATCTACTGCCMTTCAAAACAGAACGTCATGTTTCAATGAACCACTCAAAATGCTATAAAACATATTTGGAGTAATCTCGAGTGATATATACACCATAACAATCCCATAAAATCATGATATTGACCCCTTGCTCGCGCGGCATGTAAAACCGAGGATGACGCTACTTGAGAAACAAGTAAAGAAATGCAGTATTCTTCTAAGTAGAACGGATGATAAAAAACACCCCTACATTAACTCTAAGAGTCTACAAGAATAAAAAAAACAATTTATCATAGCAGAAATCAAAAGGAAKCCGGCACAGTGGCTGAGATTTCAGTCCTAGATAATATTCAGTGTAAAATGCACTTACGAGAAATAGGCGAAGGAAGTTCACCAGGCTGGCCTTTCCGTCGCCTTCTTGAGTAATCATTGACCGGCGGGATTCCTGGCACTCCGAGGAATTGCATATACGTGCCTCCATACCACACTAAAAGTTCTTGATCAGGCGGAACGTCCTTGATGGCGCGGTAATAWATATTCCCGCCAAATTGAAACACCTCGAGGTTTTGTTCTTGTTCGTTGCGTGCGCAGTTAACGAACCCCATCCAATTTCGCGGGCTTTCGTCCTTCGCGTCGAGGAAGTGGCTGATTGTTCCATCTTCGTTTAAAACCTAAATGAATGATAATTGAGTCAGATTTTCAATTCTTAAAACACTTTGTTTAGGGGGTGATAAATCGATATTATATATATGAACAGTCTTCGTGTGTGAGGTATTTTTTTCGGCATAATTCATTGGAAATTCCATTAGATTAGCACTTGCTCGTGGCGCACTAAGTTGTGGAAAACAAATTTCATAAGTAAAACACCCCGACAAAACTGGAATCGGATTTAAATCGTTTGTTAAAACTCAATATCAATGATATTGTTGAATTTCTTCGCCGTTTATTAGAACTATATCGGGTTTTAGTTTAACCATCGTGTAAATGGAATGAGAGTCTCATTGTAGCGAAAAACAAAATTTTCAATGATGCTGAAAAAAGTGGAATCATTTTTGCAACTAAACGTTATTTGGTAGAAATTGCTTAAGACAAACGGGTTTAAAAACAAAGCCCGCAAAGTCATTATTTCTTGTTTTATCATGGRCAACAAATCTAGAGTGAAAATATTGTGATTACAGAGCAACACCGAAATACCCTGCCAAGTTAAAACCTGTTTTCTTTACCATATTAAATCATTACAAATTCAATGTAGCATAAAATCTGGTTTTGTAATCTTCAAAGTGTTCAGTTGTGTGTCAAAATGATCATATCTCGATTTCAATCGAAGCCTCGGGTTTGCTCAGTGCCAAAGAAGTCACCATACATTAACCAACATATACATTGCCTCTGTCAACTTAACAAAATTCACTTTGTTATCCTTCTAAATCCTTMCTCGAATCCAATAGTAGAAGTCTAAGTTAGTGAGCWAGACGGTTCGCAGTTGGGGAGAGGAAACTGCATGTCGATGTTATTTCCAAACCATATCTAAAATTCCAATTRAAATCTTATGTTTCTTTACCAAACACACACTTTTTATGTCGTGAACATGGCAAGGCTTTAGAGATAAAGGATAAAAATTGACAATTCTCTCTGTCGTGTTTTTGGGTGAATAAAACAACAAGATTGATTGAATAAACKAGTWKTTTCATACCTCCCACATAAGGTTGTTGTCGATTTCATAGTTCACTTCGTTGGGTTTCACAATTCGGCCAGTGTAAGGGCCCATCTGCGTGCCTTCCTTGATCCAACAACTACTAAAAACCCCTAATTGTACKCCAGGGATGGAAGACGGAGCGATTGTTACTTGTTCGGGGAGCGAGACAAACGCCATACAGTAGGAGTCATTGTTTAGGCAAAGCTGTTTCGACTTGGTATTCTCACTGCTCAAGACTGGTAACATTGTAGGAGAACTTAAACTATCCAAGTTTTCTGGATATGTTGGCTCGGATTCTGCAGTCATAAAAAAATAGAGTTAAAAACAAGAATTGTGCTTGGTTCATCAATACTGGTTTTGAGATTTGAATTAAAAAGAGCGATAGTCGTAGAGTAATGTTTTTTTTTAAGATTTGATTAAACCTCATATGCGCRCGAGACATGTTTTTAGAAAAAATTGATGAAATTTTCAACATGATAGCTAGCTGGCTTGTGCATTTTTTGTATTCATTTTATTTAACACATAACTTTTTTAAAAAACAATTTCTAGACTTTGATCAATTGTAATACCTTAGGGGTGAATTTGATRATAAATCAGTATACAACTTAGCGAGCCAACGGGAATAGAATACATCGTAAAACAAAAAACCCCGAACGCTRCTAAATTTTTAATGCCATTTCATTCTGCGTTGGCAAAACCTTTGGAATTAACCGAGTTTGTTAAAATTAGCTTTGAATATCTTMAAATTTAGAATAGATTATTTCTTAAGGAAGCCAAAATCACGGGAAATTATCTTTTCAACTGTAAAACACTATATGTTTTAAGTAGTTGTGTTTCTCGAGTAATTTTGAAATAGTCGCSAGTTGAATTTTTTCACCTGTGCAGAGAAACCACTAACCCATCCATCAAGTTTCCCCCCCAAGTGATGTAAATTAAGTTCTGATTGAAAAATTACTAGTTTCTTGCACCGTGCTCAATAAGCATGTTTACTGATTTATCGATTTGTTTCGAGCTCAGTTGATTGTATTCATTAGTTATGACGAGGGTGCTTTGAGTAAATTTGAAGCGGGTTGCGGAAACAAGATAAAACCTAAACCATCTACGGATGTAATCCCAAAGGCTTTTATTACTAACATCGCTAGGCATAACAATAACCATTTTACTCTTTATTGGTAAACTTTTACAAATAAGCGAAGTGTAAAATTCATGTGGGTTGGAGATAAATAAATGAGTAAGTAACCAAGGCTCGTAGTTTTTGTTCATTTTAACAATAAATTTCTACTTAAATTTTGATCAGATAGCCGTATCGTTGGCGTGCTGGCATTTCACAGAAAAAAMAAATCTAAGGGCGTTTATTCCTACACATAAAACCAGTTTAAATCTCTCCTTTTAGTGTGTTTTCACGCTTTTCTGATAAAGAAACTGAATTTTTGTCTTTCTTTGAAGGATTTCTATGTTTTTTTCTCCTATGGTTTGTAATTACACGGCCGCGTATTCTCTAGTTGTCTGCTGCGCGCATTGAAAGCAAGATGATTTGGACCTGCTATAGTCGCTCTGTTGTCCCCAATGAACTCAATTTCCTTTTTAGTGTACGGTCAAGAACTATGCAATCATCGATAACAAAGGCAACAGAGGAGCGCACTTTAATTTCGACGATGAACAGAGAAACTATTAAAAACCACGTCTTCAATTGAACACGTCTAATGTTGAATGACAAAAAGACCCCTTCTCGACAGCTCGTTCTGTGTGATCGTTGAGCAAGAATTTCTCCCGTCTCTGGCCGCATGCATATTCATTAGTTTGACCCACCTGTGCTACACAAATTGGGTATTTAAAACTTATTATCCTCGCAAAATTACAATCGATGTGAGGAAGCGTTCTTCATCGGGTTATTTTCAAAATGGTGTTAGATCATATAATATATATATTTACTAATAAGCAACAAGACGGTCTTCTAAAATGTAATTATAAATAAGAGAATTCTAAAGGTGTTTTGCTTGACTCCGAGAAAACATTTTGTTAATAAAAGATTGAGAAACTAAGATTTTAAAAGATCACTTTGATATCAGAACCTCAAGGAAAGATGTAAGAAGTTATGGATGGATAAATAAAGCTTATCTGCACGCGAAAAAGAGGGTCCATTTCTACTCGCGTGGGCTCCCGACACATCTTAAACAAAACCAAGTGTTTGAGAAACAGTAGATTTGATAAACAACTTATAATTTTTTATCTTATTTTCTTTGTAAAAGAAAGATAGCTTGTTCATTTTCTTGTTATTTTCTTTGCGATGCTGTTGATGGTTCGTCTGCTTTTTATGTGTGGGAAATGTAACGTTTGAAAAAAATTGCCATTAGTCGATGATGGAATGCTTATGATGACCTCATAAAAAAGAAACAGACATCTTCCACCGCCAACTCTCTTTGCATGCTTAAATATTTAATGTCTTTCTTAGTTAATTCCATAAAAAAATCTCTTCTTGGGAATTACAAGCATAACCCGCAACTTGGTAGTTTAAACTTAGGATATGTGGAAAATCAACAAAAGTTCTATTTTCGATTAGGAGAGCACTGTAGTGTTCTAACTCGTGTAATTATATAATTTCCCAGTTGTGACATAACTACAAATGGACTCGTATAGTTTGTCGAGATGATGTCGAACTAATCACTTACTACTCAACGATGAACATTATGCGTGGAGTAACAAACTCACCTTCGTCAGACGGGTATTCGGCTTTGTCGAGAAAGCTTGATTTAAAAGTGAGCTCTTTCTGTCCACCAAAAACGTTACACCATTTCCCATATAAAACGCTTCTCAGAACTTCCTGACTAATACTCATCGTGCTTGATCCTTCAGAAACTAAGCTCCAACCCTCCATGRTCGGCGATGTATATTTTATATGTCGATATTATTATTTATTATTTGTGCTCTTATTAGTGGTTCTATCGATGTGTTCGTATTGACGTCTCTCGTCGTGTATGAGGCCGTACCGAACTTGACCGTGCTTTTTATATTAGGGGGCCGTGTTTGCCTATGACAATGATCTGCCCTAGAACAATAGCTACGCAAATCTAAATAAGTCTTTGTAATAAATCAAACTTATTTCACCGTGCCCTTCACACCTCATTGAGCGCTTTGCTGTCCGGACGTAATGAGTGGCCACCCCGTCAAAGCACCTGCACAGCGCGCTCTTTGCGCATGCCCGAGCACATTGCGCGTAGTGTGAGCAGGGCTGAGGGGACGTGCGATTGATGGACTTAGATGTCTCTTGTTCCTCATTACGATTTGGATGTCTTAACTATTGATGTAATATATGCGATAGCTACTTAGAACTGACATGTGACTTTTAAAAGGTTTTTTTGCTTCATTCAAGGGCGCAATATTTCGGCTTAGTGTATTTAGGGCAGTTTGCTGGTGGTAAGTCGACGAAATTCCCCTCAGTGAACTTCCTATATTGAAATACACCTTCACTAATTTTTGGATTGAAAAACGGCAACTTTGTCAAATCCAACATGCATTCCTAAAATCTTGCATTTCAGGAAAATACTTGATGAAGCATCAATATCATACTAAAGCGATTGTTGTTTCGATTATTTTTTGAATATTTTTTGCCAAAAAAGCAGATTCTTCGATTGTGACTGTCGAATATTTTTTTCCCGATTAAACGTTCTAKAATCCCTAACGAAATGTGATGATGATCTTTGGTGTATGGCAAACAACCTTAAATCATTTCCCTCGTGCCATTTGTTTAAGAGAGCCAAGTAAAAACGAATTAAGCTTTCTTCAATTTTGATATCTGATGTAAACAGTTTCACTCTCTCTGGCAATCTGAGTTTCTACACAATGCTTCCAGCGCGCCAAGCAATCACTCATAATTAGCGGATCTATCTTAATTGAGAGTATTCTAACATTTTCCAATAGAAAAGCTCTTAATTATTGCAGCCACCAGTTCTTAATAAAGAATTGGTACCAGTTGCTAATTGATTTCAAATAATTCCATCTCTCTGGAGGCGAGAACTTGGCTTTTGTGTAGATTGTGTTAACTTCACGATGAGTTATAATTTTGGAGAAAAAACAAACGCGATGTATTCATTCGTCGGGGTATCATCTGACGGATGGAAACTTTTTTGAAGTTTTTTGAAGGAGTGGTGTGGATTCGTTGTTGGTTGTTAGAAATGTGTTTCGGTGGAGATTCGAGATCCCAGTTTATGCGTATCACCTGCTGATCGGGACCGCACGCGCGTGTAAGACGCGTGTCAAAACAATAACATCTTAAATACATTTACGTCTATCTTATATCACTCTTTTATAATTGCTTATAGAGTCTCGGTCTTTAATCCCTGTGTAATTGTAAAGATTGCAGTACTTTTAAGGCCAGTATAATAACATTAGAAGGTGATTACTCCAAACGGGCATGGTTGAAATCACTGCTATCTACGCATAGTATATGTACATCATGTAATCCCTTCGTAATCCAAAGAACATTTTATCAGGATAATTACTTCATTACTAACTTGAATCAAATTGTCAACTCCTACAGATTACGAATCCTTGATTTCACAAAGAATTCAAAGTTGTTTTATTAAAATAGCCTTGTAAAATCACTTCAGTTTGTCGTCGTGGACGCGAAAAATTACTAAGCTCAGAAATATAAATGGGGGGTTGTTTTCGTTCTCATTTTGTTTTTTATTCCGCTTTCTTGTTTTCTTAAGTCCGTCGAAAAATAATAAAGGTGTTGGAGCGACCTTTTCTTGTTGTCCTGAAATTTAATTTACATGTGAATAGTATCTTTAAGATTCATTATGGCTGATTGAATCAAAATAATGCACAAGGRACAGAGTTTATTTACCCCGGTTTGGGTAAATACATCACGTATGATCAGTAGGTAATGTTATTTCCTTGTCAGTTATTAGTGTATCGTTAATAACTGATTTGGCGATTTACATATGCAATCATTACTACCACCTTAGCTTTCTTCAATCTGCAATCTTTTTTCATTTGTTCAGAATCAATTCTTAAGCGGTTAATACAACAGAAAACACTATTTTGTCAAGTAATTGCAAACAATCTGCTTTAGCAATCTTTTAAAATAATGTGTTATTTTCGGTATTCCCGGTTGAGGATATTCTCCCTCCCACGTGAGACATTTCGGGATATTTTTTTATCCAAATTTCATTAACCCCAAAGGGATTTGAGGTGGAAATTACTTCGCCATGTTACATGTGAAACTACCAACAAAAGCTTACAAACCTGAACCAAAACACACCGATCTTAACTTCCTTTGGCTCTCTAAACATTAACATTTGATGGCATTATTCTCACTGTAAGTTCTAAGGCCGGATCAAGAGGAAATTTGCTAATTTCCCCTGTTGTTAGCCGAAAACTCCAAGCTTTAATTCATTAGGACCTATCGTTTTAATAGTATATTGTTTTCATTAAAGTCTCATAGTAATCAATATTATATGTGTTTCCTAGAATAGGGTACAAGGGTCCTTTACTCAGGCGAAGTGTAGTGTGGAGGGACAACTGGACGTTTTTTACTCCCTTTGGGGGTGTTTTGATCCGACACCTTTTAGTTTCCTGAACGTATTTAGCCAATGCATTCAAAGCATTGCATCGYCAAAGTGTAGAGTGCTACCTTTTGCATTATCATCCCTGAAAGCGCASTACACGTGTGAAAGGGGGAAAAAGTTTCTAGATGTAAAGAAGTTTTGTTAAGAGAAACAATGTCCCTAGTCAAGAATAGAGCGAAAGTTGAGTTTCAGTCAAAAGGGTTCGTCCAAAAAATGCTCTATGAGAGCCACTGGCTTTGAGAAAGACTCAGGCAGGTGGCATCTATAGAGACTATGAGCCTTAATGCGATATATCCAACGGGAAGGCTTCGTTCAGAGATCATGAGTTTCAACCGCGGTATTGTAGGCTACGTRGATTCAACAGCGTATCCCCGGAGACTGAGTTTTGTTTTGCATCGTCGACCAATCCGACAAGACCTTCTTGTTCACGAGGGGTCGTTCATAGTCAGAGAAAAAACACATTTGTGGCTTTCTAGTGAATTATTACAAATTAAACACTGTGGAGAACTGTAAACTCCGAGACACGCGTGCGTGTAGTACGAAAGGAGCGCTTAGTTGGACGACTAGTCGGTCTTCGTGGTTGCTCATCTCAATCATAAAACAACACCCTTGTCTTGTACGGTGAGCATAGCCGGCCAACACGAACTTCATAAGAAATAGAACGRATCCCTGCACATAAACCATGATTTCCCCTGATCTTATTTGACATTGAGTTCTCTTCATCTTTTGTTTTGCTTAAAGAATCACTCAGTGATTATTATGAAACCGCGATCAAAGTAATTTAAATGCCTCCTTAATTAGACATGGCTTTTTGGACAATTCTCCTTGCCTTGGGGCTGAAGAAACGACCTTCATAGGGGGAAATGACAAAAATCACCGAGTCAAGACTTWACATTCGTCTCGACATTTCATATCGCTTTCTGTCCCCTCTAGAGGCACGGGTACTTTGTCATAAACGCTATAGCCGCTTCTCGTAATACTGTTCTTAATTCCAGCAGACAAGGAGTGTTTACTTATCCTATTACAACCGTTGTTTGACCTAGCCCTCGCAGTTGAAAATGTGTGAGTTTAGTGTCCTGATACGGTGGTATTAAAGGTATCCTTGCCAGGGCAGCTGAGCCTATTTGAGAGTCTAGCGCACCCCATTTAGGGCCGGGTACTGAGGAGCAAAAATAGAACGCCTATCGCAATCACTCCAAATTACCGAATGCTTTAAATGTAAGATCTTTTGTAGTAAACTTTTTAAAAAGATTCAGATCTWGATAACATTAACCAACACTGGGCGTAATGGGGATTAGGTTAAAGCAGTTTTCTGAAATAAAACCGTCTGAGAGAGGTAATTTTTCTCAAAGGAAGGCCTATAACTATAAAACCAAAATGCAAGGTGCAGGAGTTCGAGATAAAGAACCTGGCAAGACACTTTGGCGGCAGTTAAGCTGCGTGCCGCGAATTTTTTTGTAATATTTTCAGGTCGCAATTACAATTCTTTATTTTATGAAATCATAGCTATATTTATATGTCTCATTGGTGTTCATACAGCTTCCGTTAAACCCTGTCGCGGAGCCATAAACAAAGCAATTCACTATTCAATGCTAGCTATTCTATTAAGTTAGCATCCAGCTTTTTATAGAGCGTAGTCATAGTCGATAATAATCATCCATGCCGGTTTGAAGGTATAATTAGTTCCAAACTATCCCCAAAATAAGTCAATTTGGAAGGAAATAACTTCCATGCTTCTCCAAATCTCAACCGCAAACACTAACGGTTCATGAAAAAAACCTTGCTTGTAAATTTTTAATTTTAAACCTGGATATTAAATAATTTGATCAAGTGTAAATTAACAAATGTGAAAGGAAAATTACTTGGGAACTGTTATCGCTGCACTGTCCAATTTTCATGCTTTGAATACGAGAGCAATGTGAGGGCTTTAGATTCGCCGCAGATACAGATTTAGAAAGATAGCAAAAACATTTTATTTTGGGAGGTGAATTATTAATGGATCGCCACTGTGTTAGGAGGGGCCCAACTCGAAATTCGTACCAACTTGGTTCGAGGCGACTTCAAAGTGACCTTCAATGTTCAGTAGTTAAAGCCTATGAAAAATCCGTAATCTTTTTTTATTAGTGTAACGCGTCAAAGATTGATGAAATCACGACATTATGTCAAGCTTAGTGGCGTAAATCGCAAGGTTTACCCTTCACGCTTGATTAGACCTTAATTTTCTCGTTGACAAGTTGGTATTGGAGGCTGCTTCTTAATTTGGTGGCCGTATCGTAATCAGTGCCTCGACAGTGTCTTCCTAAGGCTTTCTACGAACACTGTTATCTCTTCTATTACTATGGCTAAGATGGCTTATCACATCGGTCAAAACTAAAATTAACTTGTAAAAATCAAATAAAATATGAACAAGGGAATCTAAGATCGATAAGGCGAGATTGCGATAAAGCATTCTTCGTTTGCTCAAGCTCGGGAGG